TCTTTTAAAATGCTTTGGCAGGGAGGGGGAGACCAAAGACGTTCATTAATGGGAAATTTATGTTTTTTGCTGCATAATTGACTAGTGATATGAGTTACTTCTCTGAACAAAAACCTCTCAATAAGTCACAATGGTAAGAGGAATGTGATGGCCTATTTCATCATCTGTGGAATGTCTGTTTGGATTGTCTTGTTGTTGTGCACCTTAAGTTGTGTTTTCAATTTATGGTGAACCTTCAGGGAACTTATTTTCTAGAGGGAACTTATTTTATAGGTGGGTGTTTGTGTGTGTGTGACTTGCCCAATACCATCTAGTGGGTCTTAATGGCTGAGTGGGGATTTGAACCTTGGTCTCCAAAGTAGTAGTCAAATAATCAAATTACATGCTAAGTCTATGAGATTGCACCTGCAGAAAAACCATCAAATGCACTGGAAGCATATCTTGTCTGTGATGGACAGTTTTTTTCCGAATGTGAAGAAACTTCTTCAGATTTCTGCAGCATTGCCAGTGTCAACAGCTACAAATGAAAGGTTACTTTCAACCCTTAAACATTTGAAAACATACACAAGAATCACAATGAGGCAAGAAAGACTGACTGGACTTGCACTCTTGAGTGTCCACCGAAGTTTATCAATAGAGCCTGATTTCTGCCAAAGTGTATTGACACAGTTTTCAAGTGTTTCTAACAAACGTTGTGGTATTCTTTTTTAACTATAAATTATCAATTAGCAATCATTTTTAGTTATTTTAACACTTGAAACTTTAACTAAAATAGAAATTTGATTTAATGAAGTCTATAAAATATACTTGAAACCATATACAAGTATTTTATGTTATGGCACGATGAAACATGCCTGTTACCCTTTGTAGTCTTTTATCTAGGTCATTGCTATCTTAAATACTGTTTATAAGTTTTAATCCTTGCTTTATCAGTTTTATCTGCTGTTAATTCCACCCACATTGTGTGTTTTAATCAGTTTTGGCTATTTTTGGCCTTACTAACCTTGCATACCTTGGATCTTATACCTTTTAAGGAGCAATAAGGGTCTTTGGACTGTATTAAAAATGTTGTGTTATCGAACTACTCTTCATTATTTGCTAAAAAAAAAAGTTTCAACCCCCCCTCCGCACCCAAATTTTTTTTCTGGCTATGGCCCTACCCCTGACCACTGTATGACCATGTCAGGTGGTAGCGGGCAGCATGGAAAATGGTGGTACTTCAGACGAGTTTGATCATTGTGCAAGAGAGATAGAGGATTCCAAGCTCTACAATTAACCCCCTCTAAAACAACAGCAACAACTGATAAGGAGGTATAATATATATTTAGACCTGCATATGTCATTAACAGGATGCCAGCCATGAACGTAATGCTCCGCAGTTATGTGTTTATGGATGTTGCTAGCTAGAATAGTGTTCCCCATTTAAAGCTGCAGACATACACCAGAACTATTTTTATTGTACAATTGAACCAACAGCAGATGTAATATTTGACAACATTGTAGATATACGGTATAGTGCATATTTGAATAACTGTTACCCATGGGGCTTAATCATTGTACATTATCTTGCACAGTGAGTAATAATATTTTCAGCACTTATCTCAGTGTGTGTGTTTACGTTCAGGAATATGAAATAATATATATTAATACAATCCCTAGCCAGTCACACAATTCCTCTTATTCACAATGTAGATTGGAAGGAGCAAGGAAAGTTGGCGAATAGGCAGGCTTCTAACTTTTTAGTGAGCTTAGAAGCACTATGACTTGTAACAAAAGTAAGCCCTGAAAGTCAGTTTAGTGTGAACCCTTTTTCATGGCTGTTATATGCAGCTATGGTTCACTCAGAGGCCTATACAGAAGAGTCTTGGTCAGTTAGGTAGGCTCGGTATTACACAAAACTATTACTTTTAGTTGCAGTTGTGTGTTTTTGCTACTAGTCTAGAATTATGGCATTTTCCCTAGCCTGTTCTATAACTCCAAGGGAGATGCAAGAATTTTCCATCTTCTCCAGATTAGAGGAAATCGATATAACTGGATTGACTTTTTCAATTATCTCCTTTTCTGGAAACAATATGCTTGTCCACTTCTAAAACCAGATGGTTTATTGTAAGTTTTTGCTACTTTTTTTTTTTTGGAACCTGATCTGATGACTGTTCATCTGACGCCCTTTTTAGGGCTGATGACTACAAATGTTCCCTGCCAAATACAAAATTGCTACCAATTTTTAGAAGAAATTATTTACAAAAGTATCCCTTGCACCCTTCAAGGAATATGGGAGCAAATTTGACAAGCACTGGGTGCTTCATGGCATGTTTCAGATCCAGGAAAGCTCTATTTATCTAAACAAGAAGGGATCAACTAGAAAGTTCTGAAAAAAAGTTACCTGTGTCTTAAAACAATTCAGAGCTCCAAAAAATTGGATGAAAATTTTCCACAACCCATAGAGGGCATTGGGAATTCAATTAAAATGCGGTGAAGTTTGGAGTCCTCATATGACCTAATAGTCACATGTTGCTCAGTCATACATTGTGTGTGTGCCTTTGGGTTGCCAGTTATCTTATGGTGATCCCATGACAATCCATACACATACAATAAAAGTGAAAATTTGATATAGGGTGGAGGGTAGTGAGATAGACAGATTGATTCAAAGAACAGGATTGTATCCACACTGCAGAATAGTAGCAGTTTGATAGGACATCAACTGCCATGGCTCAATATAATACAATTCTGAGATATGTAGTCTTGGAAAATATTTTCCTTCTCTGTCAAAGAGTTCTGGTGCCACAACAAACTAACAAATTCCAGGATGCCGTAGCATAAAATTCCCATAGCATGAAGAAATGGCAAAGTAGTGTCAAACTGTTATAATTCTGTAGTGTGGATGGTTTCCAGAAATGTACTGGGGTTGTCTGAGAAGTAAGCTATTTCATTCCAATGAGAAATATCCCTTTCAGAAACAGCAGCTCAGTGTGACTTTTTCCTCACTATTGTTGTGTGTTTTTGTAAAAGCTCTGTCCTTATGAGGAGACCACGCAAGTACAATCCAGGAAAACATGTTCATAGTGATCAAAATTTAAATTGCAAACAAAGCTGAGAGCAAGGAAGTTTGCTTCCAAAGACATTCACTTACTGCTCTGTAAATTTGCATTACAAATCACACATTTCCTGACCTGCAACAAAATTAATAAAATTAATGAATATTCTCAATATGTCTGTATCTGTTGCTGATGTTTGACAATGTACGGCTCATTCCAGAGACAGGAAAGATAGTAGAAAAAGTTTAATGCATTTTAGGTAACCATTAATAAGCTAGGAAATCTAATGAAATTGTATTTATGTTAGAAAGGAGAAAATTTAGCTGCTAGGCTCATCTTAAATTGCCATTTCAATTTAAGTTAAATGTCTGCACTAAAAACCTAACTCGAATGAAGCTGAAAAATGCAATAGAATATTTTACCTCCTGCTGTTGCTCTTTTGAGTTTAGTAAAAAAAGATTCTGCTGCATGAATCTTTGAAAATGGTATTGTTCATCAGAAACTTTCTTGTACTTTCCTTTTCTTCCTTACAATTTTTTCTCCTTTCCAGCCCTCATCTTTAGTGTTCGGACTCCCAACAAAAAGTCTCAGGCCCCATCTACACTGACTATTTAATGCAGTTTAAATCTTACTTTGAACTGTGGTAGCCTAACTCCCACAAAGCAAACTCACACAAAACCGTGCAAAAGAAAGCTCTTAATGTCCATTAGTGGCCTGTGGTTTCTGTAATCACTGTCAGGGCCCCAAACTGGCTCGATTATTTCCTATGTAATCATATGTACAGGAAAAATCCTTCTTCAATGCCAGTTTGAAACTGCATTCAATGGTCAGTTTAGATGGGGGCCCTAAGTTAAGAACTTTCGTTTCCTGGAAAAGATGAGGAATTTATATGTAGTCTGTAGGGAAGAGCACCAGAAGACTAAGTGGTTTGGGCATCATGACAAAAACCTTGGAATAAGAATGGAAAGAATGTTTGAAAAACTGGTTGAAGACCACATTTCTCAAGTGCTGAGAAAGCTGATGGGACAAATCCTAGACTAATGATAATATTCACAGTCAGGACATATTCTATGCACCTCTCCCAAACAAACAAACAAACAAACACAACGTATTGTCACAGCCTCACAACTTCCAAGGATGCCTGGCATAGATGCAGGCGAAATGTCAGGAGAGAATGCTTCTGGAATATGGCCATACAGCCCAAAAAACTTACAACAACCCAAACAAACAAAAACCCTGCATTGTGTTGTATGTAAAGCAACATTCTTTTGCACAAGAAAAGGCATTTTCTCCAGATAATGCAACTTCCTTCACAGACAACTGCTTTTTCTGTATAAAACAGCCATGTGTGCAGTTAGGCAGAAAAGTCCCAAGTTCAAAATAGTAACCTAGTGGAAAAAATTTGCTTCCTTCAAGAATAAAATTAGTGAGGAACATAACCCTGAGAGAATTTCACAAAGCAAGGAATAGTTATTTAAAATTTCACTGAGAGAATTTCACAAAGCAAGAAATAGTTATTTAAAAACCAAGGCAGGAATCCAAATGGCACATGAGAAATGGTTTCTAGCTGTCTCCATCTCTTTCACCTCCACTGTATTTATGGCCCCATGCAATTTAAGCAGTTGTTGACAGCATACCACAACACATGCCACTAACAGGGTTTTCTCACTTATCTTTAGGTAATGAACTAGATGGGAAATGAAATATTTGCTGATCTTAGCACTTTTGCTTAATTAATTAATTGTTCGCTTGATAAGTTAATTCTGCTAATTCTGGACCTAGAGAAAGGTAATGCTGAAATTCAACTTTAAATCAATCACATTGGTTAAAGTGAATCTAATCAAGTGTTCTCTTCTGATTAGAAGATTTCCAAGTTACTTGATAACTTAATTGATTTTAACTAGTGAGTTCCTGCCAATGTTTATTTCATGAACACAAGTGGAGACACAAACACAAGTTCCTTACCTGACAAAACTCTGACTTCTGCTTCATTTCCAATTCTTGAACTTGCAGGATTTTTTGCCAGGCATCTATAAATCCCACTGTCCCCTGCTTGAATTTTGCTGATTTGTAAAGATCCAGAAGGCAGGATTGCCACACGTGTATCACCAGGAGTCAAAATCAGGTCTTCTTGATTCCTTTGCCAGTGGATTGTAGGCATAGGTTCTCCAACAACTTCACATTTTAACAAAATGGTGTCTCCCGTAAATGCTGTGACAGAGTCTGTCTGAGACAGAAACCTCAATGGACCTGTGGAAACAGACAAAACAATATCTGAGAAAATGTCTACCACTGGGAATTTGTTTTGGTAATGAAATTGCTTAAAATATCTGCTGCAGTACAGCATTCAAAAACATCATAGCCAATCCATCAAATGGGAGTACATCCATTACAAAACTTTGCTTACTTGTGTGCTTCCATATTGTATCATTACAAAGGAGAAAACACCACAATGGTGCTCCCAGTACTGTTGGCTTCCAGAAACAAATAGGAAGGTTGGAATGGGACTAGGTTAATTAGAAAGCAGGGTTTGAACAAAACTGGATGGGATGTATTTCCTTCTACCCACATGAACCATATCTCTCTCTCTGTCTATCAGCAGTTTTCAGCCATTATAGTTAATTATCAGGGCTTGTAAATCTCAGAATATCAGACTCCCATCACAAAACAATAGGAGAAAACTGTTAAGTGGAGAAAGAAGGTCAGCTCGACTTTGGTTGTCCTGTGGGAGGATCATTTTCATGTTATTCTTCTTTGTTGTTTTTTTACAATGGTGAAAACCAGGAATCCTCTGAACTGTCCATAATGATTTTCCCACCCCCACCCTGCCAAATCTTGAATTGTAATCTTAAACATCCCCATGGGCATGTCTAATATGTCAGTGAGGCAATGGATCTATATCATATTTTAGTCTGAATTTTACAGTTCAGAGAAGAAACCAAATCAAATTCACCATCCCACTGATATAAGAGTCTTTGGCCAACACTGGTATGAATTCCTGTRAAATGATATTATGGCGTTTCCTCCTTCCCATGCTGTCTCAGGTATGAGGAAAAGTTATTATTTTACACTGTTACCTCCCCCCCCCCCCGCCCAATCCCTCTAAAGGAAGTGCAAAGTTAAGAAGTGTAAGTCACTTTTTCTTTCTCCTTCCCTTTCTTTTCATGCAAAGCTCTTTTCTAAATCTTTTTCTGCCTCTTCTCTGTTAATTGAGAGAATCCTCACGAAACAACATCTTCCTTCACTCAACCTCACATCATGTCTTTGTCCCCTCGGGGGAGATTGCATTCGAACCAGGGTTTCAGAAAATACTCGGTACACCTGCTTTTAAATTCTAATCTGAAAATGGCATGCAAACTTGATTTGCCCCAGGGCCCAGTTGGCAGCTTATCAAGATCTCCCTGTTCCCCCCACAGAAAGCCTAATTATTAAGTAATTAAAGTTCATTTAATAAAAAAATGGCTTATCATTGGGGGGACAGACCTTGGGGTCTGGAGCATGTGTATGACTATTAAATATTCAACAATTTAGTAACACTCAGTCAAATCCCCTGAGGAGAAACGCTTAAAATGCTTTGTTTGTTTCAAATTAAAGTCTGCAAGGTTATTTAACGGAAGGGAAGGACCCATTTTCCCCACCCGTTCCCCCCTCCCTCCTTCCCCTTTCAATTTGCACAACAGCTGAAGGGCAGAGAACCAAAGTAATGGAGAGAAGCTATTCGTTTCGGTTTTGTCCTGATGGTACCAAAGGGAATGAGCAACAGCAAACCTGCAAAGTCAAATATGCCATAAATATTTCTTCAGTCCCGTTTTGCTTTCTTTTCCCTCCCCCCCTCTCTCTCTCTCACACACACACACACACTCACACTCCTTTTGTTATTGTGTTAGTAGGCAGACATAAAATTCTCAGTTTTCAATATACAGAAACTCCACAAGTTACAAACAAGATAGGTTTTGTAGGTTTGTTCTTAAGCTGAATTTTGTTTCTAAGCCTATTAAAGAAAAAAGTTTTTTAATATCAAGTCTGGGAGTGCTGTGGTTTTTAGCTTTGAATATGTTTTATGTATTTTAACTGTGCTTTTTAAGATACAATTGATATTTAATGTTTGCATAGTCATAGATTTTAAATTGTATTTAAATGCTTTTAATATAAGCCACTTTGAGTCTCCTTGTGGAAAGAAAAAGTGAGGTATAAATAAACAAAATAATAATAATAAACATAATAATAAACATAATAATAAACATAATAATAAACATAATAATAAACATAATAATAAACATAATAATAATAATAATAATAATAATAATAATAATCAGAACAGGTATATTTTTAAGTATAATTTTTTTAGCAGCCAAAATGTGTATTTTTTACCTTTGGATTGCATAGGGAAGGGTGAACGAACATCCTTGTAGCATTTGTTTTGCTGTCTGTCTCCCTGTTCAGAAGATTTCACTTCACTTTCTGTCCCTATGATAATTGGATTTTGAAAAATTTGGCCTTTTGTGTAAACAAGGATTGGTGAGAAAGCTTCAGCCGAGACATCTTTTCCACATGGTAACTCTTTCAGGAGTGAATTTCCCTTCCTCGGTGTAGATTTCTGTCATTTCCTGTTGTCTCACCTCTGTTCCTAACTATGAGTTGTTTGCAAGTCAGATGTTTGTAACTCAGGGACTGCCATAAAATTTCTTTCATACCAAATTCCAAACATACCAAAAGAGGAAACTAAAATTGCTGCTCACTCCCATACTTGTATGTATGTAAATATAACACTAGATAAAATTCAGTTCATAAATGCAAATTTTAAGTAAAACTACAGAATTCTATGAAATATTTGAAAGGTACTCAAGTAGTTGACACTGTCTAAAACTATGCCCTTTTCATTAGAATAGCACATCAAGTTTGGAGATGAAGCATATAGATTGCATAGCATAACAGAGGTTGGCAACTTGCATTACTTTTATGAGTTCATAACCTACATGTATAGACCTGTAACTGTTCAGTACTATAATATTATGTATTCATGTTTGTGACACTATTGCCACGACTAAAAGTGCAGCCTAATCTCATGTTAAGATCAAGGAGCCATTAGAGTTCCCTCCTGTTGGCAATCTGAGAACAGAAGGATGGTATTTCCAGCCTGCTCTTACCAGAGCCTGAAGATGAAACAACCAGATGCAGAATCTCCAACACAATTCCTCTTTGCTCCATAGAAATACTCATAGGGCAAACTGTGAGAAATTGGGATTTGCGTTCTTGGTCAGGATTGTTAAATGTTGGTTTCCCATGATCCACACTGAAGAAAACTTGTCTGTGTCCCTGAATTGGGTCTAGTCTGATGGAGAAGGAATGTAAGGAACTAATAATGCCACCTTTCAGTGGAATTGAGCTGGTACAGCAAGACCATATAAAACTTTCTGAATTTGAGTACATTATTCTAGCAAAATATTCAGATATATGGTTACCAAAACATGTAATGAAGGAGAAATATATAAATAAAAGAGCATTATGGTATGTGTCTTTGTAGTCTGCCGAATACAAATATGCCAATAAATGTGGTCTACTAGTTAGTGATATAGCTGTGATGTTTTGGGATTTGTATAGAGAAATGTATAAATATGCACTCCTTTGTGCTGCTTAGAGTGTCTCTTTGGTGATTTGAAAACTCCAAACACCTTCTTGCTGCAGCTAAAATAAACTTTTGTGATACCCCATTCAGTTTTTTTTAATCTGATAGAAGTGTACTGGGGGATGAACTCTGTTTTAGGGACACCAATACCAACCTTTGGCATCCCGGTTGCCTACGAAACAGACTTCTGTTGCTAGTTGTACCTGCTGGCTGTTAGGATAGGTTTGTGGGGGCCAAGCCAGAACAAAATCATTAGTGAGTTACGCACAGCAAAGCAGACAAACGCAGACAAACTCTTGAAATTACAGTGTGGATGTTTTTTGATTCAATTTGTTGTGTTCTACTCTATACATGACAGTGTCCCATGCTGTTTTTTTAGAGTGTAAGGTGCATCATAACCATTTATCCTTACCTAACAAGATCTTCCCTGATCCTGAAAGACCTAGAGGTCTTTCCTCCCAAAAGCAGACATGATAAATTTTACATCTAGGTCAAATATCTACTTTATACACAAGTATTTTTATTATCTCTTGTCCTAAATATATCTTTGCTGTATACATTAAACAATGATATGTTCCATTGAGAATGCCATGGAAAATTAATATTTTGCTGCAGGGGAAGGAGTCTACATTTAGAACTGGGTTCTGTTCCAAAGTTAATAAATGTAAACATGGTTTCAATTGATAGTTCTGCGCCCTGGAGGTATACAACAGGGAAGCAACAGAAAAAGAGCTGGGCTTTTATAACACTGTTAAATTTGTACAGAAGGTTGATTTAGAGGGACCATTGTCTAAGTGGTCCATAAATACATAGCTTATAAATATCCAGGAAATATCAAGTTCCAAAATGTTTTCTTCAGGTAAAACACAAGTTCTTACATTCTATATAAGAAGATGGCAAAACTCAACATTCTATATAAAGAAGGGAACTGGACTCAACACTGGCACCAAAGGAGCAATCCCCATCACATCTGAAAGACTACAGGCTGTGGATGACACAGAGCTTTGTCCTCCAAGAAAGATAAATGCCTATTAATTTCAGGAGAAATGCCCATGAGGCTGTTCTCTTCCAGCCCCTCAACTTCAGAATCTTATCCTCCCTTCTTTGTACCATTTCCTTGCCTCACTCTCTCTCTCTTTCTCTCTTTCTCACCCTGCTCTATCCATGATGTGTAAATTCACCTCCATTTGATTTGGAATCGGGTCAGCAATTGCAAGCATCATTGGATAATGTTCCCAGGGAAAATGATGTTTGATTTGTAATACGCTCGAGCTTTACAAGCTAGGCGAATGTATATTCTGAAGCAGGTAATTACACAGTTGGGAAACATCTTTCTCCCTCCACCCCAGTCTTTGTGCGTATGTGTCTTTCTCTGTTCCTCCCACGCATGTGTTCAAGGCACTGATGTCTGGTCACTGCAGGCACAATAAAATGAATCTGTAGTATAATAAGTGAATAAGAGCAATATGGGAAATAATCATGTAATTCTATACATTGCTTCTTGGAAGTACCTCTTCTTGAGAACAGCAGATAAGATGGAAGAGCCATTAATTGCCCATTCCATAGGGTAAGGCCAGAGCCAATCAGTGGACCTTGCAAGAAAGTGGGTATTGATTGAATACTA